GTATAATCCTGTTCTGTGCCTTGGCCTTTCTAATTTTGTTTATATCCATCCTTTGTAATTTGACCTAGTTTCCACTTTCTGTAGGACTCTTTTTGAGTTTCAGATAATTGAAGATCTCCTGGTTAAACAAGGATGGTCTCTTGACATACTTTCTATCTTTCCTACGCACATTTAAATAATGTGTATAGCATCTTATAATATTTTTAATACTTAAATTATTTTCAGTATTAAAATGTTCTAGTATATCTTTGACCTACATTTTATATGATCTTCCCTTTGAAGTGTGTATTAATTTTGTCAGAACCCATATATCACACATTCTTATTTTAAACCAAGAGTAAATAATTTCTCAGAAGCATTCAGGGGGTGAAGCAGTTAACTACACATCTAAATCAGGCACCTGTATATGCCACCACATTTTCACTATTAAATTGAACTTTGTGTGTAAGTGTGACTTAATGTGTAACCTTTTTTAATACTTTAATAGACTTATCTGGCATATGCAACAGTAGACAATGTTGGAAAATGATACATATGTATTTCAGGTGTAGCAAAACCTGTATGTTTTGTGTTATATTAGGGAAAGTATATTATCCATAGGGCTCCATATCTCACGGAGGCTATGGAAGTCATGGATTCCATGAATTTCCGCAACCTCCATGATTTCTGCAGCAGCCAGTGTGGCTGACCCCAGGGCCGCCCAAGCAGCTGGCCTAGGGCTTCTGCTGGAGCACTTCTGCAACCAGCCGCTCAGTTGGCCCTGCAGCCAGCTATGCCAGCCACTGCTGGAGTGGCCCCAGAGCTAGCTGCACCAGTCCCTGCTCAAGTGGCCCCGGGGACCGCCTGAGCAGTGGTCCCGGGGTGGACGGAGCAGCCGCTATTCGCCAGCCCCCGGCAGTGGTCCTGGGGTGGCTGGAGCAGCAGAGGAGAGGAGAGGGGGGCAGCCCTGGGGGTGGCTGGAGCAGCCTCTTCTTGGCAGCTCCCAGCAGGTGGTGCCACTGGCCCTCCCAGGGCGCCCCCCCCGAGCAGCAGGCCCCCAGCCACCACCACCCCCAGCAGTGACACCCCATCCCCACTAAGATTTAGTCAGGGGAAATTATGGTAAGTCATGGACAGGTCATGGGCCGTGAATTTTTGTTCATTGTCTGTGACCTGTCCATGACTTTTACTAAAAATACCCATAACAGTTGCCTTAATGATCAGACAACTAAAGATTGTATTGCAATCCATGTGCTCTAAGGGACTGAGTTAAGGTTGCTTGTGTAATCTTAATGTTGCCAATTTTCCATTCTTTAGTGTTTTGCTGTGCAATTTTCACTTTCTCAATGTGTTTTTTTGTATGGAATTTCCTGTTTCTTTTCTAAAAGGAAGAGGGGGAAAATAAAGCTACTTCACTCTTCGGGACTCGAAGCTCTGTTGATGTAGCATGTGCAACTTCCATAATGTAGAATTACTTGGCTAGACACCAACAGAACATCTTGCCTCATGCACTTTAGGAAGCTCATAGGTAGATGTCATTCTTCTGCAAATATAGGAATTCTGTAGCTGAGGAAGCTTGCTTAAGTCTATTAGAATGGGCCTTCCCCCTCGTTATCTGCCCCCCCCCCACCTTATAAAGTAGTCAAGAATCTTCCTCAGCTATTGTGCACCTGGTAAGGAGTGCCAAAGTGGGGCTCTTCTCCTTCATTCCTCATTAGGTCCCCAACTGTGGAGACTCCTGGTTTAATGGGGGAGCTTGGGTGGGCCCTGCAGCATAAAAGAGAGGGAGTTGGGAGGTTCTGGACAACAAGGGAAACATTAATATTAAAAGTAGCTGTTTGAACTGTGCATAAATTTTTTAACAGTGGCAAGCTCCTAGCAATTAACATGGATGAACTTCATAAATTCAGTGAATACATTGGTGGGAGCCAGGCACAGCTGAAAACCTCATGTATAGGTAGCATAAAGCATTCTATACAGATGTGATATTTTTTCAACGTAAAGAGTATTACAGCTGTCTGATCCCGGAAACTTTAATTCCTCCAAGTTGCCCAGTCTCTTTGGAACTTCTAGCTACTTTATTCCTCAAGTTCTCACTGCTGGTTCTGAGTATCCATAGATGCAGACGTGCTAAGGAGTGTTCGGTGGGAAACCCACTCATCTGATGGGTACCTGCCAGCAAAGCTTAGAACTCTGCTGTGTAGGTACATTCTTCTGTAAGCCTGCTGGAGTTGCCTCCTTGGCTCTCATCCAGGAGCCATCCAAAGGTTGGGTCAGCAACAGCCTCCAACCTTAAAAGGACCACAAAAAGGGAATAAAAGGTGCTCCACAGCTGCACACCTCAGAATGTAGGGGAATCGCTATGAACAGTGACCCTCATAAGATGTACATTGTGGATAGCTGTAGCCTTAGCTAGCTATGCCTTCAGTAACTTTTCAGATACATAGCTATGGATCTGATCCTGCAAACACTTATGCATGTGAGTACTACCATTGAAGTCAATAGGATTATTCGCATGCTTAAAGTTGAGCATGTGCATAAATGTTTGAAGGATTGGAACCTACATTAAATTTATTAACGCCTTCCTTGGAGCTATGTACTTTGAACTAAAAAAACCTATCACCAGAATATTAAGAAGTACCTTTGAATAAAGACTATTCTTATACCACATTTCAACTTTCTTCCCCTAGCTGTTTTAGCTGTAGCACTGTCCAAAAAAAAATCACTTTTTTTGCTCAAACTTTCTCACTCTCATTCACAGTTAGGCAGAGACCAAAAAGTAAACCTTCAGCCTGAGAGGTTATTTTAATGGTGGTAAAATGGAAATTGTTGTTTAACATTAACTATTGTGCTTCCTTTCACACCTGCTATCATATCCCAGGTCCTATTTTTATAGACAATAACAGAGAGTTATTAAAAATGTACCTTGAAACTGTTGTTCTATTTTTATTAAGGTGGTCAAGCGATTAAAAAAATTAATCACAATTAATCGCACTGTTAAACAATAATAGAATACCATTTATTTAAATATTTTAGATGTTTTCTACATTTTCAAATATTTTTATTTCAATTACAACACAGAATACAAAGTGTACAGTGCTGACTTCATATTTATTTTTGATTACAAATATTTGTGCTGTAAAAAACAAAAGAAACAGTATTTTTCAATTCACCTAATACAAGTACTGTAATTAAATCTCCTTTATCATGAAAGTTGAATTTACAAATATAGAATTATATACAAAAAAACCCTGCATTCAAAAATAAAACAAAGAAAAAAATTTAGTGCCTACAAGTCCACTTATTCAGCCAATCACTAAGACAAACAAGTTTGTTTACATGTGCAGGAGACAATGCTGCCCGTTTCTTATTTACAATGTCACCTGAAAGTGAGAACAGATGTTCACATGGCACTGTTCTAGCCGGCACTGCAAGATATTTACGTGCCAGATGCGATAAAAATTCATATGTCCCTTCATCAGGGGTGAAAGTTAAATGGAGCTCTTACTGGTATGGGGCCAGTTCTGTTCTCCCCTCCCCCCCGGAAAGGGCAGGGCCTCGGGCAGAAGGGAAGGGGCTTGGGTCAGTGTCCCCCAGCCTGTCCATCCATGCTGCCTGGCCCACACCGCTCGGGGCTCCAGCGGCCATTTAAAGGGCCCGGCAGGGCTGCCGATAGGCGGTGCAAAAGGGGCAGCGACATTAAAGCGCTGCTATGGCAGCGCTTTAAAGTCAGCGGTACGGGCCGGTGCTGGCAGCTACTTTTTACCAGTATGCCATACCAGCCCATACCACCTTACTTTCACCCCTGCCCTTCATGCTTCAACCACCATTCCAGGGGACAGGCATCCATGCTGATGACGGGTTCTGCTCAATACGATCCAAAGCAGTACAGACTGACACATGTTCACTTTCATCATCTGAGTCAGATGCCACCAGCAGAAGGTTGATTTTTCTTTTTTGATGGTTCAGGTTCTGTAGTTTCCGCATCAGAGTGTTGCTCTTTTAAGACTTCTGAGAGCATGCTCCACACCTCGTCCCGCTCAGATTTTGGATGGTACTTCAGATTCTTAAACCTTGGGTCAAGTGCTGTAGCTATCTTTAGAAACCTCACATTGGTACCTTCTTTGCATTTTGTCAAATCTGCAGTGAAAGTGTTCTTAAAACGAACAACATGTGCTGGGTCATCAACTGAGACTTCTATAATATGAAATACACGGCAGAATGCGGGTAAAACAGAGCACAAAACATACAATTCTCCCTCAAGGAGTTCAGTCAAAATTTAATTAACGCATTCTTTTTTTAACAAGTGTCATCAGCATGGAAGCATGTCCTCTGGAATGGTGGCCGAAGCATGAAGGAGCATACGAATGTTTAGCATATCTGGCACATAAATACCTTGCAATGCCAGCTACAAAAGTGCCATGTGAATTCCTGTTCTCACTTTCAGGTGACACTGTAAATAAAAAGCTGGCGGTATTATCTCCCGTAATTGTAAACAAACTTATTTGTCTTAGCCATTGGCTGAACAAGAAGTAGGACTGAGTGGACTCGTAGGCTCTAAAGTTTTACATTGTTTTGTTTTTCAGTGCAGTTATGTAACAAAAAAAATCAATGTTTGTAAATTGCACTTTCACGATAAAGAGATTGCACTATACTACTTCTATGAAGTGAATTGCAAAATACTATTTCTTTTGTTTATCATTTTTACAGTGCAAATATTTGTAATAAAAATAATATTAAGTGAGCACTGTGCACTTTGTATTCTGTGTTGTAACAGAAATCAATATATTTGAAAATGTAGAAAAATATCCAAAAATAGTTAATAAATTTCAATTGTTATTCTATTGTTTAACAGTGCAATTCATAATTTTTTTAGTTTATTGCATGAGTTAACTGCAAATAATCAACAGCCCTAATTTTTATAATAAGAAAATTGGCCTCCTATGTTGTCCTAGTTTTGACTTTTTTTTTTTAAACACAATTGGCTTTCTTCCATGATTTTTTCCAGAACTTAACCTTACCATTCCTTGACGTCCCAGTTCAGCATCTCTTGCTGTGAGAATCCAGGGTCTCCATAATGTAGGGTTGCTGAAAGTTTAATGAAGAACAACACACTCTCATAGGTAATTCTTTATGATAATAAGCACATTTCAGTGCAATGACAGTTATCTTCATTACATGCTATCCGTGCCTTTGAAATAAGTTTATTCTTGTCTCAACACACTGATGTGGGTAAATGTGATTTCAGTGGTAGATATTATTCTGCCCATGGGCTTCTCTATGTGCTGTCAGTTTACATGCACTAAAATTAATATCAAAGGAAAGTCTGAACTGGATAAACAGTTACTCCCACAAATTAGCTATTGGTACAATATTAATTGATTTCACAATCCAAGTGGCTCACAAAAGGATTACACTTAAATCAATTTTTAGAATATTTAATTTCTAGAATATACTTAACTTCTTATGAATCTTATTATTCATGAAATAAATTAGGTAGTTTATTGAATTGTACTATCCCAATTCCTCAGTGACATGAGGAAGAGCTCTGAAGCTTGTCCCTTCCACTAACAGATGTTGTTACAATAGATATTACCTCGCCTACCTTGTCTCTCTGACATCCCAAATAGGTATTCCTAATTAAAGTGGATTACACCTGGCTTTGCATGATCAACTTGATTTTTTTTTTTTTGCTTATATTTTGATCATAGGGTGGCTGATCTATTTTTATTAGTTAGCAATTTATTGCATTAAAGTGATGCTGCTGACTTGAAATCTAATCAGTTTAATAAAAATGTAAGCAGTTTCAGGTACTACACCAGCCTCTATCTCCCCTCTAATATTTTTCTAGTTTTACAATCACATTTACCTATTTTTAAATGTATTTTCTCTCCTCTGTTTCTAAATACCCACACAAAGGGGAAAGAGTGAAACTGATTATACTCTAACTGCTGTCAAACACTCAAAGTAAATAAACTGAAAAAAACCATTCTTATCTTTCAGTTAAAGCAACCTTATTTGTAACTAGAGCTGAATGAAAAAATTATCATTTGAAAACCTTCTACAAATAAAAAGGACAATTTTTTGCAAAAATAAAAATTCTGACCAGCTCTGTAATATGTTTTTAACATGTAAAAATAGGAGATAAAACAGAGAAGTGTTTTCATTTTTTTTAAGCTGATAGTTCTTTATGGTGGAGTCTGTTTCCAATCAGCTATTTGAGAAGGTCACATTGAATATGGGCAATGTGCATTTAAAGTCTAAACAACGAGATAGGCTAGCTATTTCAATTACTTTGTTCTGTTGCCAAAGGAAGTGGTATGGATCCCACAGTGTAGTTCAGCAGGTGGTGTTATTTTAATGAAAAATTCTGTAAATAGTTAGAGAGAACACAGAATTTCTTCTCTAGGGTCTGAATGCCTGCCTTTATGCAAGTCCTGTCTTTGCCCATTGTAGCTACATTGTATTTCTGCTAGAGATTTTTAAAACTGGGTTGTTGAGGAAGCATTTCTCCTTTCCTCTGTCTTACCTTTCTGGCTGTTCTCTTGGATGGAGAGAATGTGGCTGGATATCTCTGGCAGAGTGACAGATCTGAGTCACTGTAGTCTGGAACAAGAATTTAGCAGCTGCAGCCTCCATAGTGCTTGCCTGTCTGCTGTTTTGTGTTCCTGTGCCTGGCTGGCTAGTTCTCTAGGCATTTCAGCTCCTCCTTTATTGCAGCTACTCAAGAGTACTTACCTAAAACAAGCAAGCCTTCAGGTAAACGGAGGGAAATGGCCTTAATGAGTTCCCCTCTGTCTCCTCCAACTATTTCAAAGTTTTCCTGTTGTCATGGTGTTCTATGAAGAGTGTAATAAATACAGTACTTTAGTTTACTTTAATCAGCACATTATAGTGGAAATAACCTAAACTGTTTATCTTTCTGTCTTTGTTGTACTGCATCTTTTTACCTATTTTTGTTTTATGTGAAGTACACTGTGAATATATGACTTTGTGTGTAAATAAAAATTAAGTAGGAAAATCTTCAGCCTCAAATATCTAACAAAACAAATGGAAAAAGTACCAATCCAGTTCACAGGTGACTTTAAAAAAGACCTTTGTTTTAAAATTACAAAACAGTCTGTCAGTTCCAGATTTCAAAAATGGAAAAAATACCAGGGTAAAGGAAGATGAGAACTTAAAATGCAAACCTAATGACTGCTTTATAAACAGAGGATGTTACTTTTTAAGCTTGATCTGTTTGGTCATTAGGAGGAGAAAGCTGATGCTAAGAGAGAATACATCCTCCAACAAAGCATGCTTGGTAATGAATGCCACTGCTTTGGGGTCCTGCTGTTTCACTGCATATAATACAAATTTTAAACTACCAAGGCTAGATAGGAATAAACCTCTTCTAAGCTTTCCTGCCCATTGCCTTAATTTGGACCACTAATTACACACTGTGACGTTGTGCAGTCTATATGGTTTTATAAAAACATGATAATAAGTGAATATAATGTAACTGGGATAGTTTTATAAAAATTTGATAAGTGACTATAATGCAACTGGGATATGCTTCGTGCAAAAGGTCTCTTGTAAGGTATCATTACAAAGTGCATAATCTACTGAGTATGTTCATCTGATTTGTATAAATGTACCACTCTTGTATCTAAAACTAGAAATATAAAATGTAACTCTGAGGGCCTATTGTAATTATGTAAAGTGTGGGCCATTAATGATGGTTTGGAATCTTAATGACTCCCATTGTCTGCAGATGGCTGTTTACCTGTGAGTCTCCCTGTATATGTGTGTGCTGGCAAGTGAGTAATGAAGTCTTGCAGTGACATGTGATCATGTCACCTGAACTGGAATCCATCTTTAACCTGGTGCTTTTCCAGTGAGGGGGGGTGGAAACCCAGAGAGACAAAGGGTTCCCGCCTTATGCAAAAGATATATAAAGGGGTGGAAGAGAAGAGAGAGGGGAGAGGAGCCATCATGGAGAAGCCCCTAGATAACACCTAAGCTGGAACAAAAGCTGTACCAGGGGAAAGAATTGTGCCCAGGCCTGGAAGGTGTCCAGTCTGAGAAAAACTTACTGAAGCATCTCTGAGGGTGAGATTATCTGTATTTAGTTTGATTAGGCATAGATTTGCGCATTTTATTTTATTTTGCTTGTGACTTACTTTGTTCTGTCTGTTACTACTTTGAACCACTTAAATCCTACTGTCTGTATTTAATAAAATCACTTTTTATTTAGTAATTTACTCAGAGTATGTATTAATACCTGGGGGAGCAAACAGCTGTGCATATCTCTCTATCAGTGTTATAGAGGGCGAACAATTTATGAGTTTGCCCTGCATAAGCTTTATGCAGGGTAAAACGGATTTATCTGGGTTTAGGCCCCATTGGGAGTTGGGCATCTGAGTGCTAAAGACAAGCACACTCCTGTGAGCTGTTTTTGGGTAAACTTGCAGTTTTGGGACAAGTGATTCAGACCCTGGGTCTGTGTTGAAGTGGACTGGAGTGTCTAATTCAGCAAGACGGGGTGCTGGAGTCCTGAGCTGGCAGGGAAAACAGAAGCAGGGGTAGTCTTGGCACATCGGGTGGCAGCTCCCAAGGGGGTTTCTGTGATCCAACCCGTCACACACACAGACTATTATATTGTACAAGAATAGATTTATTGCATTTGGTAACATTACCTGATTTTCACTGCTATGGAAAATCATCACATTTGCTCACTTTACAGGTTAAAATTCTTATTTTCCTACCTGCCATCCCTGCATCTTAAGTTGAATCTGATAGTGAATCTGACTTCCTTCTAGCTTTTGCACCATCAGAAGTAATAAATGTTCTGTACCTGGTGCTTAGGAAAAAAAAAATCTCTTGAGGTGTGAATCAGAATAGAATTTAGCTCATTCTTGTATATTTTTGTTAGCACTGCAGAGCTAAGTGTGTAAACAATAGTTTTAATTTTTTTTTAACAAAGTAAGCAGATCACTTTGAAAATATACAGGGATTGGATCTGTTGAGTAGGTGCCATTTTTACATTCACTTTTCTTGCTATAACCACACATCCATAGGCTGTCTGTGGTAAGTACACAAACTTTAGGATTAGAAACCTATGTTATACCAGCGCTGCTCTAGGGATTGCTGAGGATGCCCAGTTAAACTTGCACAACCTACATCTGCCCCCTCATGCATGTGTGTTACACTAGAGTTTAATTGCATGAATACATAACATTTCTCAAATAATGGTGTGTATGTGCATATATATAAAATTTTCTACCACTTTAAATACATGCATGGCATCTTGTTCTGTGCACTATACTTTGTATGCCAATAAAGGGTCACGAACAACTTGTATGAAAAATACAGTGAATGGTATTTAAATAACAATGTACTAAGTATACAACATGGAATAAAAGCAAAAATCTGCTGGCATATCTAGGCAACCTAAAATAGCACTTACTGGCCCCATTCACAAGGTACTTAAGTGTGTGCCTAACTTTAAGCACATGAATAATTTCATTTATTTTAATTGAATCAGGGTCTACATTAGCTTTGTTGTCAAATGCCTACTAAGAGAAGTTGTGCTGCTAGTTGAAAAGGATAGCTGATGACTAAGTCCTGGATCATGCAATCAGAACCATATGGGTGGATGCTTGGGCTCATGTGCCCAATGACTTCAGTGAGACTTTAGCTCAGGGGTGGGCAAACTTTTTGGCCCAAGGGCCACATCTGGGAATAGAAATTGAATGGCGGGCCATAAATGCTCACAAAATTGGGGTTGGGGTGAGGGCTCTGGTTGGGGGTTTGGGCTTCGGGGTGGGGCAAGAAATAAGGAGTCCAGGGTGCAGGAGGGGGGTCTGGGCTGGGTCGGAGGAGTGGGGGTGTGTGAGGGTGAGGGCTCTGGCTGGGGGTGTGGGCTCTGGGGTGGGGCTGGGGATGAGGAGTTTGGGGTGTAGGAGGTGCTCTGGGTTGGGACCAAGGCATTCAGAGGGCAGGAGGGGGATCAGGGCTGGAGTAGGGGCATTGGGGCATGGGGAGAGGTTCAGGGGTGCAGGCTCCGGGCGGTGCTTACCTCAAGTGACTCCTGGAAGCAGTGGAATGTCCCTTCTCTGGCTCCTACATGGAGGCGCGGCCAGGCAGCTCTGCACGCTGCCCCATCCACAGGCACCACCCCTGCAGCTCCCATTGGCTATGGTTCCCGGACAGTGGGAACTGCAGGTGCAGTGCTTGGGGGGGGGGGCAGCGTGCAGAGCAGAAGCCCCTGGCTGCCCCTACACTTAGGAGCCGGAGGGGGGGGCCGTGCAGCTGCTTCCAGGAGCCTTGTGGAGTGGCCTCGGACCCTGCTCCCCAGCGGAAGCTCAAGGGTGGATTAAAACAGCTGGCGGGCCGAATCCAGCCCGCGGGCCGTAGTTTGCTTACCTCTGCTTTAGCTGGTAGCAAGAGTCTCCGAATGTGGATCTTACTGCAGGATCAAGGCCCAAATTATTAAAATACAGTCCTTAGCATGAAGAAATGTTACCATAAAACAAATCTCCCAAAGATATACAGGACTGCTTTGATTACAGTGCAAGTATAAATTTTTAACAAATCTATTACTCTGTGCTACACATCTGTATTTAAGGTAGTAGAAAAATGTGAGGTAACATTGCCTTATAGCACTGGTTCAGCAAAGCACTTAATTATGCATTGAACTTCAATTGCATGGGTTGTTTCATTGGCTTCAGTGGACTGTTGACATGCTTAGTTAAGATTGTATTTGCATTTTGCAGCCTTAACTTTGCTTTTCCTGACTTTTGAGTGCTTACTTATGTAGCCATAATCTTACTGCATTTTTAGTATGGATTTTAATAGTTTTGGTAATTCAGAACTTTTGTTAGTGCTGTTTCCTAACCCTAATTTATTAATCTTCAAAAGAAAGTCAGGCTGCACAGGATGATTGTGGAGGGATAACTATGGGGACTCTTGAACTCTAATTGGCTGCATAGTTTTTTAAAAATACGTACTCTGTTCTCACAGATAAAAGGCAAGTAGAGTTCTGCAAGTGCAAGAATCGTTGAAACAAGGCAAACAAAATCAGCAGACTTTGTAATCTGAAATACTGTATCTCTTTAGAAACTAATTTTATTTTAGAAATACGTTGTGTTTTGTTGATATACATCTACCATTTGTTGCCTAGACACATAAACAGTAAAGATGTTAACCCCTAGGGTTTCCTGACTATCCAGGAAAGCACCATTAAAGCCCAAACATTGAGGGACTAGACTATTGTTACATAAACAGTGCTGAAGACCTGTAGAGAAATGATCATTTCCTTTACCTCTGTTTAGGCAGATAGTATATCCTGTTACTCACATCACAAAGTAATCTACCCCTCTGAATTGTCTTGCATATGCATCACTTCCTTAATACCAATATTTTATTTAATTCCTAATAATTTGTGGGGGGAGAGGGCGAGGAGTGATTCCAAGAGTGGAATGTGTGGACTGAGGAAAATAGCTTATTCCTGTAAAATGGTACTAGTTGTAAAAATGCTTGAGTTGGCTTTTTTTAAAAGTCCGCATTAATCCATTTGCAGTTTTCCCATTTTTAAGAAGGGAATATGATTACAATGTAATTGTGTTTTATACAAGTGTTAAATTTTGGTGAAGTCT